TGTAAACTCTTAAATTTAATACTGAAGTTGATTGAAAATGAAGCTCTTTAATTACGTTCTAAACTCAAGAGTGTCCTTAAAAATACGAGAAATGCTATTCATCCTCAGTCTATGTGGCGTTAATGTGGCATTCAATGATAGGTGAAATTAAATAAGTCATTTAATTTCACTGATCATTTAACCAATCATTTACAACCACATAGACTGGGGATGCATCCCCACTAGGGATGAATAACATTTTTCTAAAAATACAAGTTGACTCATTTTTCTATGTCTCGCAAATTTTACTATTGGATAAGAGCACGACTTTAATTCAAGACATTGACTTGATCGATATCATCTCAAACTACTTCATTTAAAAATTTAAACTGATATTNTCTAAAAATACGAGTTGACTCATTTTTCTATGTCTCGCAAATTTTACTATTGGATAAGAGCACGACTTTAATTCAAGACATTGACTTGCCCGATATCATCATAAACTACGACATTTAAAAATTTAAACTGATATTAAACTCTTTGTACCACTTTGCTTCCAACAGTTTTCTAGTTATTTCGAAAAATCAATTATAGAAATTTCGCCAAAAGAATATTTTAAATAAAATAACAAATAATATAGTTTGATCTTTTCATTTTTTTGAATAAATATCTCCATTTCAACTCAGAAAGACTAGGCTTTGAGTTTTCAAACATTTCTCTACTTTTCTACGTAACATCAGTCTACTCGTTTTAGTAAGTCTTACCAAAAAACTTTGAACAGAGGCAACTTGCGAGTTGTGACTGGTCAAACGTTAGACATTTTCATTTTTGATCCACTCTACTTAATAATCAAGAAAGCCTCTGTATGTATAAAGGAATACACAATTAAAGCTTTTTTGCAACCAAGCAAATTTCTATCTTTGTACCATTTTTCATTAGTCGAGTTCGGTCTGATTCTATCTTTGTTCTTTTCGTACTTAGCTTTTCAATTGAAGAAACGGTGAAGTTTCTTGGGAGTAGGTCGATGAAGTTCTTTGCATATTTTGTTTTAGGTTGTTTATTTACCGTTCCATTGGTTGAGGGTAGAGTTCGCCATTACAAATGGGAGGTGAAGTATGAATTTAAATCTCCAGATTGCTATAAAAAGCTAGCAATTACCATCAATGGACGAACCCCGGGCCCGAGTATCATTGCGCAGCAGGGGGATACAATTATTGTAGAGCTCAAGAATAGTTTGATAACAGAAAATGTTGCAGTCCATTGGCATGGAATAAGACAGGTGACTTGCTGATTCTTGTTCACCGATTCCCTTTTTTGATACAAAATTTAGTGAAAACCAGGGTTCTGCCCGTCACATGGATTCGACCTCTCGACAGGGGTTCGGCCTCTTCATGGGGGTTCGGCAAATTGCCACTTGGGCATAATGATATGGAGTGAGGGCCTAGGTTTATCCTCTACGTGGCTGCCATGTGGTCATTTGTAGATTCTCTTTGGAAGAGGCATAACAAGTTCATGGATGTCGACTAAGGAATTCGTGTATTTTGCAGGTTGGAACTCCTTGGTTCGATGGATCAGAAGGGGTGACACAGTGTCCTATTCTGCCTGGAGACTCCTTTGTGTACAAATTTGTTGTCGATAGAGTACGTTCTTCTTTAATTAAACCTTTGCGACTGCTTTTGAGTCGTCCCGCATAACTTGTGAAAAGTCATCTCTTGCTTCAGTTTTAAGGCGGAACCAAATGAAATTTCAGTCGTTGGTTCAGTAGTTCACTATGTTTTTTCGTTGTTCTGCAGCCAGGGACATATTTATACCATGCACACTATGGTATGCAAAGAGAAGCAGGGCTGTACGGATCAATTCGTGTATCACTTCCCGATGGAGAATCCGAGCCCTTTTGGTATGATTATGATAGAAGTATAATCCTTGCTGATTGGTATCACGCTAGCACATATGAACAAGCTGCTGGCCTCTCTTCAATACCCTTTGTTTGGGTTAGAGAACCTCAAGTAAGTTTATCCCAAAGTAATCTCGTCTATAATGACTTTAATTGTATCTCACATCGTTAAGACTTAAAGCATGTTTTTTGTTGTACCTTAAAAAGTAACATCTAACGGATCCAGGGATTCATCTGAGTTAGGGCGAATGCTTGACGGACACTCAAGCTGTCGTCCAATATAAGTGGAAAAAAAAATTCCGATTAAGGCTCGCGGGTGCTGGCTCCGCCTTATAGCTCATGACACTCTCCCCTTGGAAGCCGGTTTTAAGTAGTAGTTATATTACATGTGAAATTGAACGAGGTTGTGTGCAAGTGACTAAAGGGTTTCTCTTAAATTTTCAGTCTATTCTGATACAAGGCAAGGGAAGGTTCGATTGCAATGCACCAGGCATTCAAGCAGGTCTTTGCAATGCCACAAATCCTGAATGCACACCTTATGCATTGACAGTTATTCCTCAAAAAATATATCGTCTACGAATCGGAAGCCTAACGGCCCTATCAGCATTGAGTTTTGAAATAGAAGGCCATAACATGACAGTTGTTGAAGCCGATGGTCACTATGTTGAACCGTTTGTTGTCAAAAACTTGTTCATCTACT